CCAAAAGGTAGAAAATATCCTGGGATCCTTTCACCCTAACCCTGAGCTGCTATGGTTAGAAAAAACAGGTTTTCCCTATCTATAGCTCAAGGTTAGCTTTGGAGATAAAGTAATGCTCAATAATATTCAATAACTCAATATCTATCTGTGACTCAATAAGCTTCTCTATCTTTCTTTCTATCTATATGACTTAGTTACTCAATTAACTTTTCTATATCTCAGTTGCTATCTATAACTCTATTATATCTCAATTCTCAATTAGACCCAATATTACTCAATCATATCTCAATTAGCTTCTTTATCTATATAACCCAATCATACTTACAATGATTTTTTCAGAGCTACCTGCCTAATCAACAGCACATCAACAGCACATCTGAAGCAGGCATGTAGCTGGGGGGTGGGGGGTGGGGTGGGGCTTGAGGGGCTTCAGCCCCCCCCCCCCGAAATTCTCATGGTGGTTCGCAAAAAGGGCCTTACTGGTGCATTATTTAAACTGTTATGTTTATTCATATCATGATCTGATCACCATACTCAATATATCCCATATGCATGGGGGCATTGGGGTAACAATACAAAAGGTTTGCTAGGGTAGACCCTCTTTCACTCAGACTCAGCCCCCCCCCCGAATCGAAATCCTGGCTATGGGCCTGATCTGAAGCTTTCTTTCTCTACACTGAAGGAGGCAGGGATGATTCCAAAATGGAGAACTCAAACCCTAGGAAAAAGGGTGGTCTCTAAACCCAAAGAGATACCGTATATACTTGAATATAAGCCGAGTTTTTCAACCCTTTTTTTGGGCTGAAAAATTCCCCCTCGGCTTATATTCGAGTCAAGCCGGGTAGCTGCGAAGGCCATCGATGCAGACGATGCAGCGGAGGAGGACCTCCGCTTGAAGCAGCCTGCCTGCCTGCCTGCCTGCCTGCCTGACTTCCAGGGCTGCAGAGGCCTGCGCTGGCCTCTGCAGCCAGCGCAGGTCTCCATAACCAGTCAGGCAGGCAAGCAGTCAGGCTGCTGCAAGCGGAGGTCCTCCTCCGCTGTGTTGGCTGCGTCCTCTGCTCGCTGCGTACGCCAGTGCAGGCTTCCGTGGGAGCGAGCGGAGGATGCAGCCGATGCAGCGGAGAAGGTCCTCCGCTTGCAGCAGCCTGCCTGCCTGCCTGATTTCCAGGGCTGCGGAGGCCTGCGCTGGCCTCTGCAGCCAGCGCAGGTCTCCATAACCAGTCAGGCAGGCAAGCAGTCAGGCTGCTGCAAGCGGAGGTCCTCCTCCGCTGTGTTGGCTGCGTCCTCTGCTCGCTGCGTACGCCAGTGCAGGCTTCCGTGGGAGCGAGCGGAGGATGCAGCCGATGCAGCGGAGAAGGTCCTCGGCTTGCAGCAGCCTGCCTGCCTGCCTGACTTCCGGGGCTGCGGCGGCCTGGCAATGGCCTCTGCAGCCAGCGCAAGTCTCCATAACCAGCTCTACTCGATCTCAGGCATGCCTGATTAACTGACTTCTGGACCAGGAGGTGCTATATTTTTATTGTGCTTTTGCTGCATGAAGGGGGTTGGACTAGATAACCTTTAGAGCTCCCTTCCAACGTCATTATTATTTTTATTAATATTGATATCATTAACATTAAGGCAGGATGGCCATCTGCCAGGGGTGCTTACACTGTGTTTTCCCTGCATGAAAGCAGAATGAAGAGGGTTAGACTACATGACCTTTAGAGCTCCCTTACAACGTCATTATTATTACTATTATTATTATTATTATTATTATTATTATTATTATTATTATTGTGACAGTGCGAGTGGCACCACCTATGCATAGAACTGTTAGTTGTAAGACTTAAACTGTTGTATCATGCTTAATCCTGCCCCTTTTTACCCTGCTTATGTATAGTTGTATGGATTGGTTGCTTGTAGCTGTCAATCAGTACTGTTTGGCTCCACCTCTTCCTGCAAGAGGGGAGAACTTCCTTTTTCATTCTGCCATCAGAGTTCGTACCAGATGGACGTGAGTAAGAGACTTGATTCTAAAGGACCCTGATTTAAGTTACCTCTTAGCACCAGTTCTGAGGTTTTTTACCCCTGGGACTCATGCTTTATGTCCAGATCGTCCTGGACAATTATTGAGAAGACCCAGGCGCCTTCAAGCCGGTTCTTTTGGCACCAAAGGAAGATCCTGAATCTTCAAAACATAGGCCATCTGAACTGGGGTTGTGGTTTGCTCCGGCATTCACAGCCATTGAGGAAAGAGGAAACTTGGTGAGGCTTCTCAGCTTCAAACCCCTTGGACCCAGGACTAATTGAGACTGTAAAGTATGTTTTCCTTCACCCCTCTAAAGTTTTCCAGCTCATTGCTTTGAAGAAATGACTTTGTGATAAATAAAACTTATTTTGAGCTATTTACAGCGTTTTGGGTTTTTGGGAGTTCCAGTTTCCTATAGGAGGGCAAGAAGCAATCCCCTGGGGGAAAGATGCCACGTCCATCCCTCCTTTATTGAGCCCCCAGGCGCGACGGCACAATTATTATTATTATTATTATTATTATTATTATTATGGCTGAATGGCCATTTGTTGGGGGTGCTTTGATTGTGCTTTCCCTGAATGAAGGCAGAATGATGGGAGTTGGACTAGATGGTCTTGAGAGGCCCCTTCCAACAAAGATTCTAAGAAAGGAGTCTTAGTTAACCAAAAGCTGAACATGAGCCAACAGTGTGATGCTGCAGCTGAAAAGGCCAATGCCATTCTAGGCTGCATCAACAGAATCCAGAAAGAAGGTAAAAAGGAACTGATATGACACTTTACTTCAGATGTTTTTTTAAATTGCTTTCAATGATAATTATGATGCAACTGTTTATTTTAATTTATTGTACAATGTTTGGTATTGCCTTTTGTTTATAATTTTTATGTTTTTTGTTTTGTTTATATAGGCATTTAATGTTTGCCTGTTACTATGTTGGAAGCCATCCTGAGTCCCCATTATTATAAAGTTAATGTTGATACCATATTATTTTTCCACTTACATAGCTAGTTTACTAATTTACTTTGAAATATGGTAAATATTCAAAAACATTTAGCTTACTGATACCTCAATTAATGTAATTTTAATAATAATGTATCCATTTTTATTTTGAAATTTACCAGTAGCAGCTGTATTTCCCACCCTCGGCTTATACTCAAGTCAATACGTTTTCCCAGATTTTTGTGGTAAAATTAGGTGCCTCAGCTTATATCACTGTTCAACGGAGAAAAAGTTGCAGGCCTGAAAATAGCTGTTCTTTCATGATTTTGGGGTGCTGAAAATGAAAATGACATTTAAAAATGTATATTGGCTGTAGTTTTTATGATATAAGCAATCATGTGATCACGTATGGTTGAAAAAATGCATGTTGCGACTTACACTATGGAAGATTCTAGAAAGTTGCAGGCCTGAAAATAGGTGTTCTTTTATGATTTTGGGGTGCTGAAAACGAAAATGACATTTAAAAATGTATATTGGCTCTAGTTTTTATGATATAAGCAATCACGTGATCACGTATGGTTGAAAAAATGCATGTTGCGACTTACACTATGGAAGATTCTAGAATATTCTAGAAAGTTTGATGACGCAGTATTAGTGCCGTGTGCAAAAGCCAGAAAGCCCTATATAAGGCCAGACTTTTGAACGGTGAGGGTCAGTCAGTTGAAGACTGAGACAGTATCGTTAAACATCGTTTTACATTGTTCTTTTTACTGTAGTTATGCCTCACACATGTGTAAATAAAGGTAAATGGACTCCGTCAATGCTGTCAGACTACTGCTGGAGCATTGTAAGAGACAATCCTTTCCTTGAATACAAAAGAAAAGTCAAGAGAAGCAAACAGGATATAAAGTAAAGTCACGATTAAAGCGACATTTAAACTTTCAGACTTTTCAATTGCATTAGGCCTACTAATATAGTTTCTTGCTGCACAAACATAAACAATAGACTAATTAAATAAATATTTCTCATGTATAAACTATTGGCAATATAATTGGACTAAAATTTAGTAAATATTCACGGTTTATATACATGCAGTAAGGTTAGGCGCATTATCATAATATTAACAAATTACCTATTGTGGAGAAAATTGAAATAGCTGTTGCATAAAAACCAGAGCCAATTAACACATTTAATTATTATATTTGAATTCAGCATGTTGAATTTATTACGAAACGGCACATTTCGTTTCCGCAACTGAGAAAAACTGAAAAATTGTAGAACAGTGAAATCGGGAGTCTCTAAACTTGAAGAGATACTTTCCTAAACCAATAGCTGCAAAAGGGCCTGCAGGCTGGCTTTGCAAACTCTGATACTGTTTAACTTCCAGGGTGCTGCTGGGTCTGTAGCAGCCCTGTGGAAATGCAAAAGAACACTATCCCATGCAACTAAAAGGTAATGCAAACTATGCTCCTCGAAGACGGAACACTATTATTAGTTATTATTACATTTCCATTATTTTACTCTATTATTATTATTATTATTATTACATTTATTATGTTTCTTTATTATTATTGGAAGGATACATAAGCACATTGAAGGTGCTTAGAATCAGAGTTGGTCAGTCTTATCTAAAATTACAGTGTTATGTAAATATTCAAAAACATTGAACCTTCTGATGCCTCAATTAATGTAATTTTATCGGTATCTATTTTTCTTTTGAAATTTACCAGTCGCTGCTGCATTTCCCCAGTTTTTGTGGTAAAATTAGGTGCCTCGGTTTATATTCGGGTTGGTTTATACTCGAGTATATACGGTATCTACTTTGATAATCTGGATTATATGGCAGAGTAGAAGGGGCCTTGGTCTGCATAAGAACACAGTAGGACAAAAATGCGTCACCACAGGTTCCAAATACCGAAAGTAACAAGCCATTAGTGAATAAAGAATTGATTAATAATGTATTGATGCACTTAAACCATGACACCATCTATAATTCATACACTCATCTAAATTGAATGCAGTCTAGTACGTTTACAAAGTTTCCACTGTGTTACAGGGGAAAGTGGAAGTCGAAGCTTGCAAGGAAAACATGAAGTTTGAGAACGGACCCTTCTCCTATTACGGGGTCCTGGCCTTGGGTCCCTTGCCCATAGGAGGTAATATGCCAAACTTGTTTCCTTCACACCACTTGTGACCCAGGCCTCATCTACACTGCCATATAATGTAATTTCAGAATGCAATTTAACTGCATTGAATTGCCTTATATAGCAGTGTAGATAGAGTCCCATTTGTTACTGTAAATAGTGGAAGAGCATGGGCTTTGGTGATCCTTGTGAAGGGGACATGGGGCACCTGATTTAATTTGATTTATTCTGATACAGAAATAGCAATAGTGTGGAGAGTGAGTTTGATTAAATAAATAAATAGCCTTAGTCTTTAGTGTTAGAACAGTGTTTCTCAACCTGGGGGTTGGGATTCCTGGGGGAGGTTGCAAGGGGGTATTAGAGAGGTCACCATCAGAAAACACAGTATTTTTATTTATTCTGTTGGTCATGGGATTCTGTGGGGGATGTTTGGCTCAGTTCTATCGTTGGGGCGGTTCGGAATGCTCTTAGCTTGTGGGTGAACTATAAATCCCAGCAACTACAACTCCCAAATGTCAAGGTCTATTTTCCACAAACTCTACCAGTGTTCACATTTGGACATATTGAGTATTTGTGCCAAGTTTGGGCCAGTTCTATCATTAGGTTCTTGTGGGGTTTTTTTCGGGCTATAGGGCCATGTTCTAGAGGCATTTCTCCTGACGTTTCGCCTGCATCTATGGCAAGCATCCTCAGAGGTAGTGAGGTCTGTTGGAATTAGGACAATGGGTTTATATATCTGTGGAATGGCTGGGGTGGGGCAAAGAGCTCTTCCCTGCTGGAGCTAGGTGTGAATGTTTCAACTGACCACCTTCATTAGCATTTGAAGGCCTGGCTGAGCCTGGGAAAATCTTTTGTTGAGAGGTGTTAAGATGTGCCTGGTTGTTTCCTCTCTGCTGTTTTGCTGTTGTAATTTTAGAGTTTTTTAATACTGGTAGCCAGATTTTGTTCATTTTCATGGTCTCTTCCTTTCTGTTGAAATTGTACACATGCTTGTGGATTTCAATGGCTTCTCTGTGTAGTCTGACATGGTGGTTGTGAGTGGTCCAGCATTTCTGTGTTCTCAAATAATATGCTGTGTCCAGGCTGGTTCATCAGGTGCTCTGCTATGGCTGACTTCTCTGGTTGAAGTAGTCTGCAGTGCCTTTCATGTTCTTGATTCGTGTTTGGGCAATGCTGCGTTTGGTGGTCCCTATGTAGACTTGTCCACAGCTGCATGGTATACGGTAGACTCCTGCAGAAGTGAGAGGATCCCTCTTGTCCTTTGCTGAACGTAGCATTTGTTGGATTCTATCATTGTTTGAGTCCACAGTGCTCTCTGGGTGTAGGTAAACTATAACTCCAAAACTCAAGGTCAGTGCCCACCAAACCCTTCCAGTATTTTATGTTGGTCATGGGGATTCTGTGTGGGAAGTTTGGCCCAATATTATCATTGGTGGGGTTCAGAATGCTCTTTGTTTGTAGGTGAACTATAAATTCTAGCAACTACAACTCTCAAATGTCAAGTCTTGTGCTGGTACGGCCGTACCAGAAGCTCCAGCTTTATTTGCTTTGTATTAAATGTTTGCTTGCAGTCCAAGGCTTGGGATTCTGCAGAAGGGTGGCTTCCTGTTAAAGTTTATAGGGCAGTTATAGGGCAGGCCACCTGTCCATCATCATTAAGCTTTGGTTCCGCCCCCTGTTCAGGCTCTGAGAGGGATAGGAACCATTTTGGTCAGTCTCAGCAAGGATAGCTAATGTACAGGACATGTACAGGCTTCTCCTGTGCAAAAGCTTCAACCCTTAAGACCTTCCGGGGGAAAACAGTCTTAAGAGCATCCAAAGATTCCCAAGGATTCCCAGGGAAATAGCCCTAAAGCTCTGAGGAATTTTGGAGGGAAAAACAGCTTTGAATATCAAAGAACTCCAGCTGAAGAGACTACAGGCTTTGCTGGTAGGTCCACTCGGTGCTTTGAGATGCAGTTCAAACCGGTAGTGGAGTCCACATCAGTTAGGTTTAGGTTCACAGTCAGCCTAGGAGAAGTTAGAAAGGGATTTTCCTTTAAAGTAAAATAACAGTTAGAAGCCACCAGTTGCACAAAAGCCTGGAAGCATTTGTTTAACCTTTTGAAGACAAGAGAAGTTTCTGTTTGATTGTTCCTCAATAAAAGACTTTGTTATACTTCACAAGCCCTCTAAAGACTGTGGTGGAAAATCCCTAAGAGCTTCTCTTCGGGCCCCCTGGCTTCCCGCTGGGCTCGAGCTGCACGTCCTGTTTTAAAGGCACTTCATTTCAAGCCCAGCGTGCGACAGAACAAGTCTATTTTCCCCAAACTCCACCAGGGTTCACAGAGTGTTCGTGCCAAGTTTGGGCCAGATCTATCATTGAGTCAACAGTGCTCTCTGAATGTTGGTGAACTACAATTCCAAAACTCAAGGTCAAGGCCCACCAAACCCTTCCAGTATTTTATGTTGGCAATGGGAGTTCTGTGTGCCAAGTTTGCATTGTTGGTGGGGTTCAGAATGCTCTTTGATTATAAATCCCAGCAACTACAACTCTCAAATGTCAAGTCAATTTCCCCCAAACTCCACCAGTGTTCACAACTCCACCAGAGTATTTGTGCCAAGTTTGGGCCAGATCTATCATTGTTTGAGTCAACAGTGCTCTCTGGATGTAGATGAGTCAACAGTGCTCTCTCTGCTCAGTGCTCTCTGGATGTAGGTGAACTATTAACTCCCAAACTCAAGGTCAATGCCCACCAAACACTTCAATGGGAGTTCTGTGTGCCAAGTTTGGTTCAATTGCATTGTTGTTGGGGTTCAGAATGCTCTTTGATTGTAGGTGAACTATAAATTCCAGCAACTACAACTCTCAAATGACATAATCAATCACACCCCCCCCCCCCAGCCCAGTTTTCAAATTTTGGCATATTGGGTACTTGTGCCATATTTGGTCCAGTGAATGAAAATACATCCTGCATATCAGATATTTACATGATAATTCAAATTACGATTATGAAATAGCAACAAAAATAATATTTGGTTGGTGGTCACCACAATGTGAGGAAATGTATTAAGGGGTCACGACATCAGGAAGGTTGAGAAACACTGTTCTAAATGTATCCACTCTCTCATACAAGTCAAATTTATTATGAGGCTGACAAGCAGGGGCGGCTCATCCATTACGCAAAGTAAGTGGTTGCAGTACACTTTTTTTTGTCAGGGGCGCAGAGGCTCCTCTGTAAATGCCCCTTGAGCACCACTTGAGGAGCGCCCCTCGGCTCACAACAGCCCTAGCAGTCCTGGGGAAGCCTCAGCAACCTATTATGCAAAGTAAGCATTTGCAGTATAGTTGATTGTGCCCAGGGGCACTCTTGAGGCACTCTTGGGGGAAAATAGACCTTGACATATGCGAGTTGTAGTTACTGGGATGTATAATTCTGAACTCCACCAATGATGGAATTGAACCAAATATGGCACACTACTCCCACAACGAACAGAAAATATATATCAAAAATTGGTTGGGGGGGGGGGGGGGGGGGGGGGGGTGTGCCAAAATACTGTTTGCTTACCATTGAAAATTACCTAGGGCCGCCTCTGCTGACAAGCAACTCCTATATTCTGCATGAAATGAAAAAAAATAATGAAATATTATTGAAAAGCGGGTGATTCCAAAGGGAATGGAGGCAAGTAGATCCAAGGAGTGGAAAAGCAGATTTAGCAGAGCTTGCATTCAAAAGTGATAAGAGGAAGGGACTACCATTCAAAAGAGAAATGGCCAAGTTGCTTATACTTTTCCTGAGGATTTTTTTCCCAAAGCTTTGTCAAATCACATGTTGATTTGGTGCCATCTGGTGGTTTAATTTGGAGACAGTTTACAAATACGGCTCGGAAGCTCCAATTAGTCCAACGCTCGGCAGCCATGATACTAACAGGAGCGGAGCGCAGGGAGCATACAACTCCCTTGCTGCACCAGCTCCACTGGCTGCCGATTTGCTACCGGGCTCAATTCAAAGTGCTGGCGTTGGCCTTTAAAGCCCTAAACGGTTCTGGCCCAACCTACCTATCCGAACGTATGTCGGCCTATCAGCCCACCAGGACCCTAAGATCTTCTGGGGAGGCCCTGCTCTCTATCCCGCCTGCTTCACAGGTGCGGCTGGCGGGGACGAGAGACAGGGCCTTTTCTGTGGTGGCCCCTCGGCTATGGAACGCCCTTCCCATGGAGGTAAGATCAGCCCCCTCGCTGATGGTGTTCCGAAGAAGATTAAAAACCTGGATGTTCGAACAGGCATTTGGTTAATCGGTGCAATGAATGTGATGATTACAGGAATGGTAATATGGACGACGAAACTGGATCACGATTTTAGTCATGAGATGCATTGGGTTGTTATTGTTGTGTCAATATTGTGTATTATGCTTTTATGGTTTTAAATTGTATATTGTTGACTGTTGTACCTTTGTTGTAAACCGCGTTGAGTCGCCTGTTAGGCTGAGAATATACAAGTAAAGTAAATAAATAATAAATAAATAAAATAATCCAGAGTTTTCATAAATTGTTGCTTTGGAACTAAAGTGTGCATCATCCTACATTGTAGAATTAATGAAGTTTGGCATTACTTTTAACTGCCCTGAAGTTCTAGTTTTACAAAGCCTTTACCTTCTTCTACCAAGGCACCTTTCCACAAAAGTCAACATTGAAATACCTCACCACCTGAGCTCTGCGAGTGCAGCATTTTTACAAATGAAGCTGAGAGTGTTTGAGGACCAGGACATCCATAGGGAGACCAAGGTGCTTGTTTATAAAGCTATTGTCCTCCCAACCTTGTTCTATGCCTACAAAAAATGGACTGTCTACAGATGTCAGACTCAACTCCTGGAACAATTCCATCAGCGTTGCCTCCGGAAAATCCTCCAAATCTCTTAGGAAGAAAAGTGGACAAATGTCAGCGTGCTGGAAGAAGCAAAGACCACCAGCATTGAAGTGATGCTCCTATGCCATCAATTCCGCTGGACCGGCCACATTGTCTGAATGCCCGATCACCTTCTCCCAAAGCAGTTACTCTACTCCCAACTCAAGAACGGGAAATTTAATGTTGGTGAAGAGGAAAAGAGATTTAAAGATGGGCTTAAAGCCAACCTTAAAAACAGTAGCAAAAACACCGAGAACTGGGAAGCCCTGGCCCTTGAGTGCTCTAACTGGCGGTCAGCTGTGACCAGCAGTGCTGCAGAATTTGAAGAGGCACAAATGGAAGGCGAAATAGGAGAAACGTGCCAGGAGGAAGGGGACGCATGAAGCCAACCCTGACCAGGACTGCCTTCCATCTGGAAACTGATGTCCTCACTGCGGGAGAACATGTGGATCAAGACTAGGGCTCCACAGCCACCTACAGACTCACCACCAAGACACCACATTTGGAGGACCATCATCCTTGTTTATAAAGCTATTGTCCTCCAAACCCTGTTCTACGCCTAAAAAACGTGGACTGTCTACAGATGTCAGACTCAACTCCTGGAACAATTCCATCAGCGTTGCCTCCGGAAAATCCTCCAAATCTCTTAGGAAGAAAAGTGGACAAATGCCAGCGTGCTGGAAGAAGCAAACTGGATGGTTGCGTGCCAGCAGGTTGAGGGTGAACCCAGCGAAGACGGAGATCCTTTGGCTGGGCCATCTGGGTGGGAGGGAGATCCAGCTGCCTATCCTGGATGGCGAGACACTATGTCCGTCACCTTCTGTAAAAAGTCTTGGTGTCTTATTGGACCCTCTGCTCACAATGGAGGCCCAGGTCTCTGCTGTGAGCAGATCTGCGTTTTTCCACCTACGTCAGGCTAGGCGACTGGTTCCCTACCTATCTAGGCACGACCTGGCTACGGTGATCCAGGTGACGGTCATCTCGAGGCTTGACTACTGTAACGCCCTCTACATTGGCCTTCCTTTGTTAGTGATCCGGAAACTGAAGCTGGTGCAAAATGCGGCGGCTCGTCTTCTTGCCGGGGTGCCGGCGAGGTGTCGTATCACCCCAATTCTACAACAGCTGCACTGGCTACCGATTGAGTACCGGATTACTTTCAAGGTTCTTATAAAGGGATGCGTCGATGAATCAATCAATATCAGATCCCACCACTATACACCAATTATAAAGATGGGGATATACAATAATCAATCCCACATCACTGGAAACAAATATGATGTCTGAGGGGTATCTTTTAAGATTCTTCCGCTGCCACCAAAATGTAAAGGAACTCCCTAGCTACCTAATACTAAAGCTGTATTGAGACCACCAGGCACTGTTGCCTTCTTTTTGTTCTTTTAAAGCAGTTAAAATAGTGTAGGAAACTTCAGCCACCAAGGCACACTTGACTCAGGCTTTAAAATTTAAATAATCAGTGAAAGTTTATTGATTTGAAACAGGAAAAGTAAGTGCAGTTCAATATCTTGGCTGTTACAGAGAATTTGCTTTTTGTCTTGAATGTGTAGCGGTTACATAAATGTTCTATCTTTGTTACAATAAAAAGAGTTTCTTCTTATCATCAACAAGAAAACTTAACAGGAACTAAATCTCTGTCAGGATTTCTTCTGTAGCTCAGATACACTAACTTAGTCCTATCTAGCTACAACCCAGCTATATCCCTAATAGCTGTTCAGTTTGCTTCAGCTAACTTTGCTGGCAAACCACTGGCAAACTTTGCCCTCTCCTAATTCCTAAAAAACCACAAACTTCTAACACATCCTTTCTCTTCAAAACCTAATCTTCAACTCCCCCTTTCTGACATCATTCTATCAAATTCCATGCATGGATTATATCGCTGTCACCAGTATCTCCTGACCTTATAGCCCGAAAAAACCTGCAACAACCCACTGTTAGATCAGTGTTTCTCAACCTTCCTAATGCTGTGACCCCTTAATACAGTTCCTCATGTTGTGATGACCCCCAACCATAAAATTATTTTCATTGCTGCTTCACAACTGTAATTTTGCTACTGTTATGAATCGTAATGTAAATATATTGTTGAAAGCTTTCATGGCCAGGATCACTGGATTGTTGTGTGTTTTCCAGGCTGTATGGCCATGTTCCAGAAGCATTCTCTTCTGATGTTTCGCCTGCATCTATGGCAGGCATCTTCAGAGGTTGCCATAGATGCAGGCAAAATGTCAGAAGAGAATGCTTATGGAACATGCTAATACAGCCCGGAAAACACACAGCAACCTGTAATGTAAATATCTGATATGCTGGATGTATTTTGATTCACTCTACCGAATTTGGCACAAATACCCAATATATCCAAATTTGAATACTGGTAGGGTTGGGGGGGATTGATTTTGTCATTTGGGAGTTGTAGTTGCTGGGATTTATAGTTCACCTACAATCAGAGAGCATTCTGAACTCCACCAACGATGGAATCAAACCAAACTTGGCACACAGAACTCCCATGATTAACAGAAAATACTGGAAGGATTTGGTGGGCATTGACCTTGAGTTTTGGAGTTGTTGTTCACCTACATCCAGAGAGCACTGTGGACTTAAACAGTGATGGATTTGGACCAAACTTGGCACGAATGCTCAACATGCCCAGATGTGAACACTGGTGGAGTTTGAGCAAAATAGACATTTTGACATTTGGGAGTCGTAGTTGCTGAGATTTATAGTTCACCTACAATCAAAGAGCATTCTGAATCCCACCAACGATAGAATTGGGCCAAACCTCCCATACAGAATCCCCATGACCAAGAGAAAATTGTCTTTGGTGACATTTCTGACATCATCCTGGCAACCCCCCCCCCCCCCCAGGGGCCCCGACCCCAGGTTGAGAAATACTATGTTAGATGATAGAAGGTGCTCAATGAAAGGAAGATGAAGCAAGAGGGGCAATGGAAAAGAAAGAAAGGAAGGGGAAGGGAAAGCATCTGGGTGGGTTGAGCTTCCAATTCCTGCCTCATTGTTTCTTCTGTATGCTTTTAGATAATACTAGTGGATTTCTCTCAGGCAATATAACTCGCCCCAGCTTTGAGCACATGGTAACTGTGTTTGGCAGTTCTGGCAGCAGCAACCAAGTTCTTCCCAGCGCCAACTTGCAGTATATGGCAGACTTTACTGTCCGTGCCCTCACTGACCTCCTGTACATCAAGGTGAGACTTCTATGGGTTTGATTCAGGGAGAGGTGAAAGCTGGGTATGCCTCAAGAGTAATCTGTAATGTATTTAAAAACACAAAGTTTTTATACTAAATGTCCTTTGACCAGAAACTGGCCACTTGGAGTGCCTCAGGTGTTGCTCTAAGGTCTTCCGTTGTGCATGTGGCAGGGCTCAGGCTGCACTGTAATAGGTTTGCTCTTCTCCACACTTGCATGTTGTGGACTCCACTTTGTGGCCCCATTTCTTAAGGTTGGCTCTGCATCTCGTGGTGCCAGAGCGCAGTCTGTTCAGCACCTTCCAAGTTGCCCAGTCTTCTATGTGCCCAGGAGGGAGTCTGTCATTTGGTATCAGCTATGGATACCAAAGCAAAAAGTGGGTGCTAGAAACAATATCATACGAAAGCTGACTGGCACAACCTGGGGATCACAAACAGACACAGTGAAGACATCTGCCCTTGCGCTATGCTACTCTGCTGCTGAGTATGCATGCCCAGTGTGGAACACATCTCACCACGCTAAAACAGTGGATGTGGCTCTTAATGAGACATGCCGCATTATCACAGGGTGTCTGCGCCCTACACCACTGGAGAAATTACACTGCTTAGCTGGTATTGCACCACCTGACATCCGCTGGGAAGTAGCAGCCAATAGTGAAAGGACCAAGGCAGTGACATCTCCAGCTCATCCTTGTTGGGTATCAGCCAGCACGTCAACAACTTAAATCAAGAAATAGTTTTCTAAGATCTACAGAGACACTCGCTGGAACACCTCAGAAAGCAAGAGTCCAAAAGTGGCAGGCTCAAACCCAGAACCTCAACCAATGGCTGATACCAAATGAGAGACTCCCCCCTGGGCACACAGAAGACTGGGCGACTTGGAAGGCGCTGAACAGACTGCGCTCTGGCACCACGAGATGCAGAGCCAACCTCAAGAAATGGGGCTACAAAGTGGAATCCACATGCGAGTGTGGAGAAGAGCAAACCACTGACCACCTGCTGCAATGCAACCTGAGCCCAGCCACATGCACAATGGAGGACCTTCTTGCGGCAACACCAGAGGCACTCCAAGTGGCCAGATTCTGGTCAAAGGACATTTAATCAACTACCAAGCTTGCAAACCTTGTGTTTTTTTATCTGTTTGTTTGTTTTGTTCTGTTAGAAATGTAATACAATGGTCTGGTTGTCCTGACACAATAAATATAAATAGCCATGGATTGAGGTTATGGGCTTTAGCCTGCCACTTTTGGACTCCCATTTGCTGAGGTGTTTCTGCGAGTATCTCTGTAGATCTTAGAAGGCTATTACTTGATTTAATGCATTGGTGTGCTGGCTGATATTTGAACAGAGAATGGGTCAGAGATGTCACTGCCTTGGTCCTTTCATTATTGGCTACTACTTCTCGGCGGATGTCAGGTGATGCAATAGGGGCTAAACAATTTAATTTATCCAGTGGTGTAGGGCATAGACATCCTGTTATGTGGCATGTCTCATTAAGAGCCACATCTACCTTTTTAACGTGGAGAGATGTGTTCCATACTGGGCATACCTACTCAGCAGCAGAGTAGCAAAGCGCAAGGGCAGATGTCTTAACTGTATCTGGTTATGATCCCCAGGTTGTGCCAGTCCGCTGTCATATGATATTGTTTCTAGCACCTACTCTTTGCTTGATAGTCAAGCAGTGCTTCTTGTAGGTCAGAGCATGGTCCAGAGTGACTCCCAAGTATTTGGATGTGCTGCAATGCTCCAGTGGGATTCCTTCCCAGGTAACCCTCAGAGCTCGAGATGCTTGTCGGTTCTTACGATGAAAAGCACACATCTGCATTTTAGATGGATTAGGAAGCTTTTGGTTTATGCAATATGCAGTAAGAGCACCTAAAGCTTCAGAGAGCTTCTGTTCAACCATTTCAAAGCTCCCTGCTTGGGCAGTGATGGCACGATTGTCAGTGTAGATGAAACTCTCTGTCCCTTCTGCCAGTGGCTGATGATTTGTGTAAATGTTACCATTGATAGAGCAAGCATGCACTCCTGAGGCAGGCCGTTCATCCTCCCAAGATGACTTCAGGCCAGTGTCTCCTGATCTGGCACGAGATCTCAACAAGGCCCTGAAATCATTATGCATCATTGTGCAAAGGTTCTTCTGTTGAAATTAACTTCACAATTCAGCAGCAGATCAGTTGCACAACTTCAGCGCTTTCCAGTAGCTTCTTCCTGCACAGTATTTTCAGTCAACTGCTTCCACAGCCTGCAGTCACTCTGGAACCTTTTACAGACACTTGAGCACATGCCCGGCCATTGTCAGTTTTACCATTGTCTTTCCCCCAGTCTAGATGACATTACAAACTTACCACAGCACACAGTTATATCTTGTCTTAGCAGACAGGTTCTTTAATTACATATAGCCTTCGACGAACAACATCACAGCACAAGGAGAGATATACACTGTACATGACTTCCTTATATACAATTCATTTACACATAGCAATCTCTGATTGGTTCCCAACTCATTGACTTAACTCAGACCCAGGATTACATCATTCACAATCACCTGGACTAGGCCAGAACACATTCCCCAAATGAAGTTCTATATACAGTTAATGCATGACTCAGCATTTCCAATAGAAGCCCATTAGCAGTGCATGACTCAGCTATATTACATTACAATACATTGTAAAACCTAACATCTTCATAGGTTAAAAGTTCTGAATCATTGCTCCCTCTTTAAGTCAGTTCTTGTTGGCCACAAAGGACAATAGTTTCCATAATTTCTGTTTTCTACTGATTTCTTCTAATTTCTTTTGTCATCAAGACGTTTTCCACTGTGAATTAGCAAGAAGTTTTCAGCCAACCACAAGTTGTTCTGATGGTACTCTGTTTTTTCGTGTCTATGGAAGGGCCCTTTGGCTTAGAAATTGAGATGAGCACCCCCCACCCCCCGAGTCTGATGTGACTAGAATTAATGTCAAGGGGAAACTTTTACCTTTACTTATATCTATATCTACCGTATATTCCGGAATACAAGGCAACTGGGGCTATAAGATGACCCCCCAACTTTTAAACACAAAATAGAGAGTTAGGGATATACTCACCATTTAAGACGATTCCGCATTCCATTCCTCCGAAGGCCACTAGGCTCCCAGAATGCTTCCTTCCATATCTTATGGTCACGCTTGAGGTTTCTAGATCCAAGGTGCGGTGACGTCATGGCTATGGTGGTTTCTTTTTCGTCGTCCCTACGCCTTGTGTGCGGTTGCGTCATGGCGTAGTCTCACGAGACAAGAGCCACTTCTTGAGAGGCTTGGCGGGGCTGGGAGGCACCAGGATTGTGGCACAGCTGGCTGAGTGTCAGCTGCATTAAGATCACTCTGACCAAAAGGTCATGAGTTTGAAGCCAGCCTGGGTTGGAGTGGGTTTCCAACCAATTGTGTAGCCTGCTGTCGACCTTTGCAACCCGAAAGACAGTTGCATCTGTCAAGTAGGAAAATTAGGTACCACCTTAAAGTGTGGGGAGGCTAAATTAACTAATTAATGAGGCCATAAAAAAAGACTCCAGCAAGCACTCCAGCAAAAATCATGCGGGGAATGCGGAAGTACTTCATCAGTGTCGCAGATGGACGATGAAAGCGACAGCTCCCCTGGTGGCCAGAAAAAGTTAAATAGCCTCTGTGTATGTCTGTATATGTTGTATGTCAAAATTGGCATTGAATGTTTGCCATATATGTGTACACCGTAATCCGCCCTGAGTCCCCTGCAGGGTGAGAAGGGTGGAATATAAATGCTGTAAATAAATAAGTGCGATGGTGGTGGAGTGGGGCTGGCGCCAGGAAGAAGGAGGGTGGCCCGAGCAGCATGGGAGGCTCTTCCTGTGCCCCTAATCCTTGTGAAAGTGGAGGGCCTTATGTATCTTTCTGAATATGCGCTTTCTTGTTAACACAGATCACACGGATGCAGTATCAGGACGGTTTGTTGGCCTCTGTGTTGGAGACCAGTATGGCAGCCGCTGAGACCCAATCGGTAGAAAATGCTGATGGTCAAAAAAACCTGTCCTGACCTTATAACGCCATCCTAGGCCCCACCTAGTTTGTTCCAAGTTGAAGAAAAGTAGCCTGTGTCAGAATGAAGACGGTGCTATTTCTTTTATATGGACCACATGGACCCGACTCCAAAGAACATGCCTGCTTCCCCCTCCAGCTAACCCTCTCCAGTTATTTAATCCCTTTGATAGAATCAAGGAGCATCCTTAAGAGAAGAAACACAGATTGGAAAATGAAAAATTGTTGTCTGCCTTCTGTTGTTTCCCTACACATTACATCCCCTCCCCCCTTTTTTTTGCTGTTGACTCTTATAAATTGTTGTTATTATGGATTTGTCCCAGTGGAAGTCATTTTTCTATACCTTATAGCATACCTTATAGCATACCTTTTTCTATACCTTATAGATAGAAAAACAATTTTCATTGGATTGTCGAAGGCTTTCATGGCTGGAATCACTGGGTTGTTAAGAGTTTTTCAGGCTGTATGACCATGTTCCAGAAGCATTCTCTCCCGAGGTTTCACCTGCATCTATAGCAGGCATTCTCAGAGGGGAACTCCAGACAAGAAACAATCAGGGACAGCTAATCACCTCCCAACAAAGGACTCCCTCAAGCAGTAAGAAACCACATCTTCAAAACTGCTAGGCCATTAAATTCTAATCAAGGTGGCCAATTGAAACATTCACACCTACCTCAAACAGACATGAATTCTTTCTCCCACCCTGGTCATTCCACAGATATATAAACCCATTTTTTCTAGTTTCCAACAGACCTCACAACTTCTGAGGATGCCTGCCATAGATGCAGGCAAAACACCAGGAGATAATGCTTCTGGAATATGTCCCGAAAAACTCAACAATCCAATTTTCACTGGGAAAAGTATCTTAAGGGAGTCGTCCCTTGACTCCTCGGTATTAAATAATTACCATTCTAGAACCTTGCCCTTTTTTGGGCAAGGTTCTAGAATGAGTGCTGGCTTCTCAGCTCCAGGGATCTTTGGATGAAACCAATTATCTTGATCCCTCGTAGTCCAGTTTTAGGCCTGGTCACGGAACGGGGACTGCTTTGGTCACCTTGGTGGATGACCTCCACAGAGAACTAGACTGCTGGTCCTCTTGGACATCTCAGCAGCTTGATATCCTTCTGGGTCGGCTCTCCGGAAGGGATCTTGGGGGCACTGCACTGGAGAATTGTATCCAGATGGTGATGCTAGGGGACATCTGCTCGGACCCCTGGCCATTGACCTGTGGGGTCCCGCAAGGTTCCATTCTATCTCCCATGCTTTTTAATATCTACATGAAACCACTGGGTGAAATCATCCAGAGTTTTGGAGTTGGGTGCCATCTCTACGCAGATGACACACAACTCTACTGCTTTTTCCCCACCTAATTCCAAGGAAGCTCTCTGGATCCTGGACCAGTGTCTGACAGCTGTAATGGACTGGATGAGGTCTAATAAGTTGAGGCTTAATCCTGACAAGACCGAGGCCCTCCTGGTCAGTTGTGAGGCAAATTGGGGCATAGAGTGGCAACTTGAGCTCGATGGATTTACACTCCCTCTGAGGACACAAGTCCGCAGTCTGGGGGTCCTCCTGGACTCAGTGTTGTCACTTGATGCTCAGGTGTCGACAGTGGCCAGGAGGGCCTTCACACAGTTAAAACTTGTGCGCCAACTGCGACCGTACCTCAAAAAGTCTGATCTGGTCATGGTGGTCCACACCTTAGTTACATCTCGATTGGATTACTGCAATGCACTCTTCTTGGGGCTGCCTTTGAAGATGGCTTGGAAACTGCAGTTGGTGCAAAGAGTGGCAGCTAGATTACTAGCTATAGGGCTAGCTATAGGGAGCGTACCATGCCCCTATTGAAGCAGCTCCATTGGCTGCCGATAAGTTTCCAGGCTCAATTCAAAGTGCAGGTTATCACAGTAGTCTTGCTTATCCAACTCGTTCATCCAATGTTCTGTATTATCCAACGCAGTCTGCCTCCTGCCCAGATCCACAGCTGTTTCAATATGTTGCGATGTTTTAGTGCTAAATTCATAAATACAGTAATCACTACATAACGTTACCGTGGATTGAACCGCTTTTTCTGTTGATTTGTTGTAAAACATGATGTCTTGGTGCTTAATTTGTAGAATCATAACATAATTTGACATTTAATAGGCTTTTCCTTAATCTCTCCTTATTATCCAACTTTTTGTTTATCCAACGGTCTGCCGGCCCATTTATGTTGGATAAGCGAGATTCTACTGTACCTAATAAGCTTGATACAGTTTGGGTCCAGCCTATATTCGTGATCACATCTCCCTGATACGGGGGGGGGGGGGGGGGGGGGGGGGGGGGGGGGTGTCTCTTGGTCCCACCTCTATCTCAAGCACAATTGGTGGGAACGAGAGAGAGGGCCATCTCAGTGGTGGCCCCTTTGTTCTGGAAAACCTTCCCCAAGGAACTTTGGCAAGCTCCCACACTACAGCACTTTTGGAAAGAACGAAATATTTGGTTCTTTCAATAGGCCTTTGATAATGCTTAAGATAGCAGCCAGACTATTCTTTAGCGAGGGAAGGTGAAAATTGATTACATGGTTTTAAAATCAATAACTATTGCTATCTTTTATTTTTGTCAATTTTATATGTCTGGTTTTAAATATGTTATTGTGTTTTTAATGTTGAGAAACTGTATTTTATATGTGGTATGGCGAGTCCTTATGGGAGATGGTGGCGGGGTATAAATAAAAGTTGATTATTATTATTATTATTATTATTATTATTATTATTATTATTAAAGTAAGGTTAAATCTTCAATCCCTGCATTCAGTGAACTCTCTCTTTTCTATAGGCTTGTTTAAATAAATAAAGAAAATTGATGCATGCTTTCTGACAACTACTTTAGCATCCTGTGTAGTTTGGCCTTCAGGTCCAGTGTCTCAAGAAGTTCTTCCCTTCAAACACCTTAAAAAAATCTCAAAAGGTGGTTCATTTACTCTGCAAAGCCATGGCAGAACCATTTGCATGTGGCAGTAGATTCTCCTGGAGGATCATGCCCAGAGGAGAGCATAAGATTATTCCCATCTTGTTTTGAAAAATTCATGATTAGACTTATGCAGTGGTTCTCAACCTTCCTAGTGCTGTGACCCCTTAATACACTTCCTCATATTGTCATGACCCCCAACCATAATATTTTCATTGCGACTTCATAACTGTAATTTTGCTACTGTTGATGAGGAGATATTGGAAATATAGATATTTATTTATGTAAAAATTGTATGTACTTTATAAGCACTGAAATGTATAGAAAAATCAGGCTCTCCTCTGTATAGAAAGAATGCTAATGGACAAGCAAGCTGCTGTCCAGGCACAGCAAGAGGGGAGCTGAAGAGGGGGCATGTTATCTATACATTCCAAGAGAGAGATAAGCCTGTCCTAGGAGCAACAGGCTGGTACAACTAGGCTCTAAAAGGGGCCCCCCTCTCTCTCCTGACAGGTAAAAGTTAGGCCCCTTGATTGATGAATGTAAGATGCTTGCTCTTCAGAAAGACAGAGACGTGCCTTTTGTATGTTGGAAGATAGAATTTGATGCTAAGATGGCGCAGTGAATGATGTCAATGTATGTAGACACATGTTCTTTGTTTGCTTGCATTTGGAGACTATAAAAGCCACAGACCGCACCTATATCATTGCTCTGATGCTTTTGGAGATAACTCCTCACCAGAGTCCCAGCTGGAAATAAAGCCGTACTTTTCTTTTCTCCGGAAAGGGTCTCTCTTGATAGTATCTCTCCTATCTATGCTGCAACACTGTTACGAATTGTAATGTAAATAATATCTGGTATGCAGGATGTATTTTCATTCACTGGATCAAATTTGGCACAAATACCCGATATTCCCAAATTTGAATACTGGTGGGATTTGGGGAGGATTGACCTATGATTTTGGGAGTTGGAGTTCACCCACATCCTTATGCATTTTCTAATGGGAGCATTAATAAAAAACAAAAGGAAAGACTTTTCCCCTAATAAATAGCATTGCAAATTACCTAAGCTGCTTCTGCTCCTGCTGCTCCTCCTGATGCTGGTGGGCCACTCTCAGTCCCATGGGCACGTTTCCCCTTGCCTTTCGCCTGCTCTCCCCTCTCCACTTGGAGTCTCAGAAACAGCCCTCCCCTTGGCTGAGAGGCTGGCTGAGAGGCCGACCAATCACAACTGGGGGGGGGGGGGGGCTTTGGTGAGAGGATTAGCTTTCTGGAAGAGAAGGAAAGGCGGAGAGATCTTCAGCCTTCTCTGCCAGGACGGTTCCTAAGACCATGAGAAATACATGTTTTCTGATGGTCTTTGGTGACCCTTTGAAATCCCTCCCCCAGGGGTCCCAACCCCTAGGTTGAGAAATGCTGGACCAATGGTTCATAATTATTTTACTGAGTTTCTGGTGTTCTCCCCTTCTGCCCCTTGCCATCGGTACTGTTGTTTTGGTGATTCACCAGAAGTTGTGGCCTCTTCCCATTTTTGGTGATTTACTATTCCAGTGAAATTATGCAGCTTATTCTGTATGAGATTTCGACTTTTTAATTACATAATAAAATGCATATTTACCGTACTTCTTCCAATTCTTTGGTTTTGTTTATATGAGAGTGAGGTTTCTGTATTCCAACAAGAAAGAGAATCAGAAACAAGGACCCTGTTACATTTGAAGTCCAGAGAAGTAGATTTGAAACTTTGTAATATCAAGGGCCATGCCAAATTCTAGACTTATTCATAATCTAGGGAAATATGATGGTGTGGAATAGTTCTGAAATGGTGAGCAAATATATCAGAATTGATACACACCCCCAACAGATACCAAGGGCCCACTGTAAAGAACTGTTCAGCTATTATACATAAGTAAGCATAAACAAGGAAGTAGAATGTTATCAAATAGCTCCATCTATAACATGGCAGTATTTCATTGCTCCACTCCCAGACAAGCATCCACAGGTACACATTTGGCAGTGGAAAACTTTTGAACATACAGCTGCATATATAACC